TTGTCTATTCTGCTATACACCCTGCTATCCCCCTCTTGTTTGTTGTTCCACGTGAAGAATGCCCCTGAGGATCTTAACTCCTTCAACCCACAGGCTTCAATACACTGCTTAAAATCCCTTGTTTTAGCCATAGTGACTCTACTCCCTATTCTCTCTTCTCTATTCAGAATACAATTAAAGTCACCCATTACAGCCCATGGTTCATCCATTTTGGCCCCTATTTGATTGATGTCTTCCCATAATTTCCTTCTAATAGCTTGTTCATTAAAGCCATATACCATAGTCATATTAAACCTCACTCTGCTCCCCCTGTGTTCTACTTTGCAATGTATCATTTGTTCTGTAACTACCCTTATATCAACATCATACAAATGTGGTTTCCACAGCAACCAAATCCTACCCCAGGATGTTTATTTAAATTTGTAACAAACGACCACCCTTGACAAAGATAAAAAGAAGCATTCAGTGCCTTAGCTTATTTTATCCTTGTTTCCAAAAATCCAAACAAGCCAACCTTCAAATTATGGACAAACAGATTCATTTCTTTCTGTTTGTCTGGCTTATTTAGACCTTTGTCATTCCAAAAGCCAATACTATCCATTTGGGTTGGGTTTTTCCCCACCCTTTCCTTGTTCAGGACCCTTATCAGCTTCACATTCCCCAGGGCAGAAAGATTTGGCTATCCCATCATTTTTGTTGTTTTGATCTTCCAAAGCAGCAAATGAATTCCCAATGTCAATCTGTGGTTCCCTTATCACTATTCCTCTTTTTTCATAACCTCTTCTATAGTAATTCTTTTCCTGTCTTTGTCTCATCATTACTTGTTTCCCTGCTCTTTGTTGAAACTTTTCTTCAGTGATTTCTTTCCCTTCTTCCTTATTGTTGTTGCCTGTTTGTTCTCCATTTCTATCCTTTCTATCACTTTGTTTTGTTTCTTCTCTTTGTTCCTGTACTTTACTGCTCAGCTCCTCTCTTATCTGTTTTCTACATTCCTTCAATTCATGCCCATAGTTTTTGCATTTTGTGCACAGTATCAGTTTCCATTCAAATTCAACCTCTTGTTCTACAATTTGACCATATTCATTTTCAAACATCACTGTATCCGGGAATGCCATATTGATTGGTACTTCCACCAATACTCTAGCATGGGTCATTCTCTCCTTCATAGTAGTAGCCTTGTCTGCCTTCAATGGATTCCCTACCATTCCAGCTATCTTAGCCAATGCTTGTTTTCCCCAACACTTCACATTTAAACCTGGAAGTCTGATCCACACTGGTATATTATCCATGATCTTCTTCTTCAATTCAATATCCTGTTGCCATGGCTTTACAATAACTGGCTTTCTATCGAACATCTGGACTCCTTCCTCTACCACTTTCATTCTACTTTCAGCCGTATGAAATATGACTAGAAACACACCTCTTTGAACTTGTACTACTAAGTTTATTCCCAATTTTCCCCAAATTCTATTAAAATATCCTTCCATAACACTTTGCGGTGGATTTGAACCCAACACATAGCATACTACTCCAGTTTTCCAGAATTTTACCTCCTCATGAATATCTTCTGCCGTAATTATCACATTGCTATTTTTTGGTGATTCTCTTTTCAGATCCTCACCTTCATCCAATGGAACAGTAGCTACTATTTTGCTCCACGATCTCTGCTCTTGTGTTTGTGTCTCATTTACTATTGCTTCTTCCCCCACCTTATCCGCCCAGGATCGTCTACTTGCACCATTCCCTTGTATGATTTCGATTTGTGTCCTCTCCGGTGTAACTACTGGTGTAGTCATTGTTAATCGCTCCATCTCCAATGGTATTATACCTGTAATTACATTTAAATTCCTCTGTTTCTTCGAGTCCTCAGTCCTAGGAATACCTTTTCCTCCATGATTTTGATTTGAACTGGTCATCTGATTGTTTTGCCCTCTCCCTCCTGCCTTCGATTTCCTACCCATTTTCAGCTTTAGCTGAGAGAAAATGTCATTCTAGAGAGAGAAAGTACAATATATTCTATATAGATAAAATATTAGGTTTTAGAGCTATATAACATAAAATGAACACACTTTATTGGGATTTTTTTGCTTCTTTCAAATTTGACTATCCTTGGAAAATTTCTGGCACCGTCTCTGGTTTCCGCCGCTATTTGTGGTTTAAGGATTTTACCTTCTTCAAAAAAGATATTTAATACCCTAAATCATATGATTACACTATTTGTGTAAAAAGAGAAAAGGATCAGCAAAACGAAGATTTTACTTATTATAAGGATAGGAAAGACATCATCACAAGAAGAATGAAGTAAATCATGTATTACTCAAGAGTTAAGTTATGACATGAATAGGTAAACTTGACAATGAAATTGACATATTCTGATTTCAGCAACAAGCTGGCCATATGCAGGGGCGGATCTAAAGGTGTGAGTATGAGTTTCCGGGAACCCACTAGCTTTTGGCTAGTTTTCGTATTTGTATTAAGAAAACCATTCAACGTATAAGAATAATTAATTGGAAACCCAATTCTTTAGTCCGATTATTATAATATATTAATTTAAAATCGACGTAAGAATTCATAAATTAAAAATCTTGGATCTGCTACGTGTATGACACCATAAGATTTGGTTAAACTAAACTTACAAACAAAAACAAAAAAAAGAATCTTTTACGTAGTATGACAAACAAGATGTGTATAATTTACATGTTCTAGGTAATATAGTAAAGTATTGGTATAAGTATAAAAGTAGCAAAAAGGGTAAAATAAGAGAAAAGGAGTCCCTCGTGCAGAGTGTAACTTCATTTTCTAAGCTTGCGGGGGAAAATATTGAAGGCATCAAATCAAACACAGAACTCAGAAATACAGAGATAAGTCAGTCATTTTTTTCACAACTCGATAGGTTACTATATGGACCACTCAAACCTACTAAGCTCTTTCTCACAACTGTCCAATTAGCTCTCTATATAGAGATTTTGTATTTCTTTTGTCCTGTTTTGATCCTCCTATATGGAGAGTTCATGTAACTCTTATGTATACATAAATTTATATGGCTTAGTTTGATTTAGTACAAAATTCTTTTTATAAAAAAAATGAAAATTTGTGGTTTTAAAGTGTCATTATTATTATACACTAAAGAAGATTCTTGGAGCAATGGTAAAATTGTCTTTGTGTGATCTATAGTTCACGGGTTAAAGCCGTAAAATCAATTATTGATGTTTGTATGAGGGTAGGTTGCATACATCATATCCTCTTGGCCGGGATATGGACCTTCCCTGGACCCTAGATGAATGTGGGATGTTTCGTGAATCGGTTTGCCTTTTTTATTAGATTTATTTATACTGTCAATTCACTTATTTGATATTTATAGGTAAATATCTTGATAAATATAAATTGGTAAAATGATAAAAATAGTAACTAACATATATCACATCTTAATTCAATGATATCGTAAAAAAAAAAAATTATACTGGCAGTGTATATAATAAAATTCATAAAGAGTTTAAGTTTTATTTATCCATAGTATAAGAATTAATTTACACAATATAATCAGGTTACTCATAAAGTATAATTATTACTAATCTCTATGGTAAGTATTACCTCCAGTAATTAGTAACCATATGACAAAAATAACTACTCTATTAAGTAAAATAATACTCCATAATAGGTTAAACCTATACTATACATACCGCATATACAAAAAATCTTTACACTAACCGTAGATATAACTTAATTTTTTCTTAAACGCATTATTTACTCCTACAAAGATGATAGCTCTAGTGAGCAGATATGTTGCATGGATTTTGCAAAATGCTGTTATATATGTGTCGAATTCTTCAAAAATACACTATTTTTGTAAGATCGGACATACATTCAGCGACATTTTTTGAGAATCCGTTTAACATAAATGGAGTATAATACTGCTACATATTAAAATGAGAAGGAAACTTTATCAACAACATTGATATGGCAACGGTTTCCAGAGTCTTGAAGTTACGTACTCCATCTTTTAAGACAATAGAAGATGTTTAACTTTTAAGGAGTCAACTTGAAAAGTGAAAGATGGACACAATTCAATCAACTTTCGATAAAACATACAGTTGTACAATATATAGAGTAGCCTTTTGCATGTTTCAGCTTGTTTCAACTAGAGTCCGGAACCAAAATGTGGTTGTTTTGAATAAGTAGCACATTAATAGGTGTAAAAAAAAAATGACATTTTTATATATAGCGCCCAAATACTGGGTGCTATACATTAACGTTAACTGTGCCGTTAATGTATAGCGCCCCGTATTTGGGCGCTATATATAAAAAGCTGATACTAACAGGTATAGCGCCCAAAAATCCGGCGCTATACATATTTTTTAAAAATCGAGCCGTCTTCCTCAAGACGACGATTCTGCTTCTTCTTCCTCAATATTTTACATATTCTTCTGCTTGGTCCCCCACTCTCATACCCGCTGCCCCACCATTTTAAAAATAAAAATAAAAAATGGGATCCCCCGTCACATAAAAGGTGAAGAACGTATGTCCTGCATTCGAGTAGAGCTTCGTATTATTGTTGATTCACACTTCCGGAGTCAAAATTTCAATCTATTTGCTTTCCAAAAATTCTAAATCGAGGTATTTCGGCTTATTTTAAGTTGAAAGNTATATATATATATAATTTGTACAATTAAGTTATTAAAAAATATGAATTTAAATTATAAAACAAAAACATAATTATTAATGATAGTTTGGTTCCATTGGACCTCAAATATCGAGCCCGAAACCCATAGGTATGTATATATATAATTTGTACAATTAAGTTTTTAAAAAATATGAATTTAAATTATAAAACAAACACATAATTATTAATGATAGTTTGGTGCTACTGGGATTCAAATATCGAGTCTGGAACCCATAGATATAATTTTTGTATAACGCAAAAAATTGTGTATCTCAAAAAATTAATATTTAATATACAGAATAAAATACAATTAATGTTGTTTTAATTTACAGTTGACGACATGGACGCGACTATACATCCCGGCCCTCGGATGTTGGATCTATTAGTCCTACAGCCCCAGCATAGATCCGAGTATATATGGGAGGGACAGTTGCTTACGCAGACTTTCCGGGCCAGGAGAGTGGATCTATTGTGGGAGTTTTTGAGTCATAGAGTTCTACATCCCCGCGTAGTCCATTACTTGGAGGAGATGGGATTATATAGGATTATTAGGATTGGCCAGATACAGCTCGACTGGGCTATGATCACGGCCTTGATTGAGCGGTGGCGACCGGAGACGCACATTTTTCATCTGCCCATAGGCGAGGCCACCATTACACTCCAGGATGCTGAGATTTTATATGGCTTGTCCGCTGATGGCTTGCCAGTATTACTGTCTGCGACCATGAGATATTATTCGCGGCAGTCTTATTGGGATATGTTGCACATGCTNCCCCCAGTATAATGAAACTCTTATTCTACGCTCTTCAGACATAATGAAAAAATGTTGGAGAATTTAACAACAATAAACGTTTCAACAAAAGCATGGAAATGGCTAGCCGGGAAATTTCTACGCTATACACCTTTTGAATGAATTTCTATACAATCCTAACCTCTTTATATAAGAAATGGCTAGCCGGATTTTATTTTTTATATATATAGTGCCCAAAAAGTGGGCACTATACGCTTTTGAATTGTTGAAGTCAGGAATTATTGGTGGGGCCATGAAAAAGGTATATAGTGCCCAAATACTGGATGCTATACATAAAGTTTTATGAATAGGGTCGGGTTTTTGGGCGCTATCCTTTTAGTATCAGCTTTTTATATATAGCGTCCAAATACTGGGCGCTATACATTAACGGTACAGTTAGCGTTAATGTATAGCGCCCAGTATTTGGGCGCTATATATAAAAATGTCATCTTTTTTTTACACCTATTAAGGTGCTACTTGTCCAAAAGAATCACATTTTGGCTCCGTGTTTCTGCTCTCTTTTCTTTTCTTTTGTTGTGGGAAAAGACATTTTCCCTTCATTTTCTCTTTTTTTTCTTCAACTTTGGTGCTCTAAAGTTGTAAAATCACTACAATCAGAGTCGTTTCGAAGGATGTATTAGGGAAAATAATGCATGTATTAGATTTGATATTAATAATCCTTTGTTTGGTAGTGTTTGTTAACTTTTTTTTTGGTTTACCACCCGATGTCCGGTACCCGCATTGGAGCATGTCTATATCCAGATTCGCGCCGCGTAGGGCCCCATTCATGGGGAAGCGTTCCCTACCAAGGATTTTTCCACACTCAGGGCTCGAACTCGAGACCTCTGGTTAAGGGAAGAGCAGTCTCGTCCACTGTACCACATCCTTTAGTGGTTAGTGTTTTTCAAATTATATATAACTAATACATAGCAAATCATTGCATTAATAATACTATAATTTTTAATACATAGATAAGCATGTATACAACCCTATGTAATGCATGTTATTTTTAATCCACCAAACTAAATAGTGGATAAGAAATAATCTCAGCATAACTGATCTCAACATTACTAATCTCAACATGACTATTCTCAACATTATTAATCTCATCATTATTAATATTCGATATTCAGGTCTATTTCTATACACCCTACCAAATGACTCTTTAAGAGTTAAGATAGGACATATAGAATTCTTTTATACTAAACTAGAGTTTTTGAGTTCGAGTTTTAGAATTGTATGGGTCAAAATTAGATTAGAGAAATTCGGCACGCAGAGATATAAGGTCGAGGTCGGACAGGCCGAGGTCGGACAGGCCTAGGTCGGATAGTCATCAATAAGGTCGAGGTCAGACAGTCATCAATAGCCGAGGTCGGACAGTCATCAATAGCCGAGATCAGACAATCATCAATAAGGCCGAGGTCGGACAGGCCAAGGTCAGACAATTATCAATAAGGGCGAGGTCGGACAGTCATCAATAAGGTCGAGGTCGGACAGTCATCAATAGCGGAGGTCGAACAGTCATCAATAAGGCCAAGGTCGGACAATCATCAATAGCCGAGGTCGGACAGTCATCAATAAGGTCGAGGTCGCACAATAATGAAATAACTAGTTTGCTTTGGAATCCTCAAAGGGAATATTCTATTAAATATTCTCTCTAGTTGTACTTCTTTAGGATTTTATATGGATACCCCTTATAAATAGGAAGAGGGGACTTCCAAAAAGGGGGCTGGTTCTCTCTCCCTCTCCCTTTCTCTAGAAAACATGTAAACATACCTCTCTAAAGAAATTAGAGGATCTGTGATCCCAGACCTTCATCAGATCTAAAAAGGGTCTTAAGGTTCTTGTATCTGTTATCATTCGTCTTTATCAAATAAAAGAGGATCCGCTCCACTCAAGATTTGGTGAATCTTTTCCTTTATTTATATTTTATTGTCATTTAATGTTACTTAATGCATCTTTCTTTATGCTATTAAATCTGGCCATAATCACGACCAATATTTATACTCGGCTATGTTTTTCTATTCATATTATTCATCTCGGATCTAGAGTTAATTATCTTTAACTAGGATTTACCCCTTCATCTTTGATTGATTTATTCAAAAAGGTTTTAATATCTTTTGAGTCAAACAATTTGGCGCCGCCTGTGGGGATTTTCTAGTTAAAATTTTAGTTTCCTTTAGATCTAAAATTCAATTCCAACTATGGAGCGCCTTCAGGGAAGCCAAACGAATTTGATACACCAAATAGTTTTTGTATTTGTTGTTTGTGCAAATGAGATACTAAAGAATATTATATATTAAATATTACATTAGCCAAGGGTTTGTTGCCTGTTTTTATTGGGCAATTAGCACACAAGTATCATGAAATGTCGATACTTCTATACATTTAAAGATTGTGATTTTCTTTTTGGTTGGGAGTACATTTGATTAGGCTAAAAATATGCTAAATTTTGTATTTCTTGTATAAAAGAAGTGAGGAACTTGATTCTGTCACAGCATACTTCTAATTTGTTGCCATCATATTTTAGACATTGTTAATTTCCGGGGTGTAAGAACGAGAAAACAAAGACACTTGAATTAAATGTCTGAGGGATACAACTATAATTATAAGATAGCTCAGGGACCAATGTAAAATTATCCAAAAAATAATGGGTCTAGAAGTGGGACCAAAGGGCGGCAGTAGTAGGAACAAAGCATTAGATTTTGGTTCCTTATTTTCTCCGTTTAATCAAACCTTTGCGTATAACTCTCCTTGCAAATATCATTTTCTCTTTCTTTCCCACACATCTTTCAGGTGTGGAAAGAAGAGTACAAGTGTCATACAAATGGAGGTCATGCTTACCAACACTCTGTTAACGTGAGCTCTACCCACGCTTTTAGCCTCCGTCCAGTAGCCCAACATTACACTTGGCAGCTAAATTACCACTGTTTAGAGGACTCAAACTAGATCTCAAGTATGGAACACGGCGAATCATCCTCCGATATGACTCACCATCCGTCGTCAACCAAGTCACAGGGACTTTCCAAATAAAAGAATAAAGGCTACGAAAATATTAGGCATGAATTCATAAGCTACTGCCCGAGTTTGACGAGTGTCAACTCGACTAGATACCCCGAGCACAAAACATCAAAATAGACGGCCTTGCCAAATTGGTAGCGGCCATTGAAAGCATAATCAAAGAAGGGAACGTGATCAGACTGAGGTAACGAATGCTTTTATTTTGTTTTAACTAACTATTTCTCCAAGTGGAATAAAAATAGGGCCAGTCACCCAAGAAATGCGTCGTATTCTCCAATGCAAACAAAATTAATCAAACTGGGACCCACCCAAGAAATGCAGAAGCTAAGCAAAACTGGGACTCATCCATGAAATGCAGAATCTAAGCAAGACTTGGACTCTCCTAGGGAATACCCCGTACGACCAAGGACCATCGCCAAAAAAGAAGAGGTCGACCCCTACGGCCAAGGGCCATCGCCAAAAAGAGGAGGTTGACCCCCTACGACCAAGGGCCATCGCCAAAAAGAGGAGATCGACCCCCTACGGCCAAGAGCCATCGCCAAAAAAAGAGGTCGACCCCTGCGGCCAAGGGCCATCGCCAAAAAAGAAGAGGTCAACCCCTACGGCCAAGATGCATCGCCAAAAAGAGGAGGTCGACCCCGTACGGCCAAGGGCCATCGCCAAAAAGAGGAGGTCGACCCCGTACGGCCAAGGGCCATCGCCAAAAAAGAAGAGGTCGATCCCTACGGCCAAGGGCCATCGCCAAAAAGAAGAGGTCGACCACTACGGCCAAGAGCCATCGCCAAAAAGAAGAGGTCGACCCCATACGGCCAAGGGACATCTCTAAAAAAAAAGACGTCGACCCCTATGGCCAAGATCCATCGCCAAAAAGAGAAGGTCGACCCCGTACGACCAAGGGCCATCGCCAAAAAAGAAGAGGTCGCCCCTTACGGCCAAGGTCCATCGCCAAAAAGAGGAGGTCAACCCCGTACGGCCAAGAGCCATTGCCAAAAAGAGGAGGTCGACCCCCTACGGTCAAGGGTTATCGCCAAAAAAGAAGAGGTTGACCCTTACGGCCAAGGGACATCGCCAAAAAGAGGAGGTCAATCCCGTACGGCCAAGAGCCATTGCCAAAAAGAGGAGCCAAGAGCCATCGCCAAAAAGAGGAGGTCGACCCCCTACTGCCAAGAGCCATCGCCAAAAAAAAGCGGTCGACCCCTACGGCCAAGGGCCATCGCCAAAAAAGAAGAGTTCGACCCCTATGGCCAAGAGCCATTGCCAAAAAGAGGAGGTCGACCCCCTACGGAAAAGGGCCATCGCCAAAAAAGAAGAGGTCGGCCCCTACGGCCAAGGGCCATCGCCAAAAAAGAAGAGGTCGGCCCCTACGGCCAAGGGCCATCGCCAAAAAGAAGAGGTCTACCCCTACGACCAAGAGTCATCGCCAAAAAAGGGAGGTTGACCCCGTACGGCCAAGGGCCATCGCCAAAAAAGAAGAGATCGACCCCTACGGCCAAGAACCATCGCCAAAAAGAGGAGGTCAACCCCGTACGGCCAAGGGCCATCGCCAAAAAGAGGAGGTCGACCCCCTACGGCCAAGGGCCATCGCCAAAAAGAGGATGTCGACCCCGTACAACCAAGAGCCATCGCCAAAAAGAGAAGGTCAACCCCCTACGGCCAAGATCCATCGCCAAAAGAGGAGGTCGACCCCGTACGGCCAAGAGTCATCGCCAAAAAGAGGAGGTCGACCCCTACGGCCAAGGGCCATCGCCAAAAAAGAAGAAGTTGACCCTTATGGCCAAGGGCCATCGCCAAAAAAGAAGAGGTCGACCCCTACGGTCAAGAGCCATCGCCAAAAAAAGAAGAGGTCGACCTCGTTCAAACCAAGACGGGTTAACATTTCGACAAGCTCGAACTAACACCCCTACGACCAAGGGACATCGCCAAAAAAGAAGAATTCGGACTCGTCCGAATTGACCTTCGGCCTCGTCCGAATC